TTACATTTTTTATTTGAGCAATTTATTTTTGAATAATTTTGCCATTATTTTAAAAGAGGCTCAGTGTGAACAATTTAAATAATAAAGAAAAGTGTGAAGAAGAAAGTCAAAATAGAGGTTTCATTTCTTAGAGATTTCTACTTTTAATATTATGGGCTTCTAGACATTGTTTTATGCATATATGTACAGGTGTGGGCAATATGTATATATATATATATATAATATTTACTTTGTACATGCATAAATCACATTCATGATATTCCCCGTTTTTTCCCCTTACTCTATGCGCTGATATCTTCTTATGGTGATAAATACAGATCTGTATGATCACAATATGTATAAGCCATAAATTAGTCAACAACAGATAGCTTTATTTCTGTTATGTGCCGATTGTGCTAGGTAGGAGGATATAGCACTGAATAATACATATTCTCTGCCCTCAAGGAGTTTGTTATTTGGGAAATAATTATTTAAAATGTTTTCTTCCTCAGGTTTGCCAATTTTATCTCTTGTGATGAAGAAAATAGATGAAATTCCTTTAATGTGCCTTTCTTTGATCAAGTAAGGTTGAAAAATATTTTCATATGTTTGTTGGCCTTTTTTTTTCTCCAATTGCCGGCACTTTTTTCCATTTGGGTATTTTTTTCCTTATTGATTTATGAGACCTTTTTGTTTAGGAACATTAATCCACTATATATGTAATAGGTATTGAATTTTTTCTTAATTGATGGATTGTAACTCAACCTTGTTCATGGTGTTTTCTTCCTCTACAAAGTTTTCATTTTTATATAGTTACATTTTTCTTTCTGATTTCTGGTTTTGCATACCATGCTTAGAGAGGCCTTTTCTACCCAGAATTGTTTTAAAAATTTTAATGTATGTTTCTTTGAAATATGCACGTTTGACTTGTGTTTGCATTTGCATTTAAATCTTTGATTGATCTAGAATTCATAGTGTGTGAAGTAGTTGTCCTCTTGTTTTATTTTTTAAACTCACTAACTCACTAGCTTTTTATTACATTTATTACACTATTTATTAAATTAGCCGTATTTTCTCACTGATGTGAACTATCATATCAGGTACTAAATTCTCAAATATGCTGGAGTTTATTTCTGTACTCTCTATTATGTTTAATTCAGTGTCATCCTGTGCTAATTAGAAAAATAATTTTAAGCAGTAGTAAACTTTAATTACTGTAGTTTTATAATGTGTTTTAATATGCAGTAAGTCAAATCTCCTTATTAGGAATTTTTGGTTATTTATAAAGTGTCTCAATTTATATTACTTTCCAATATGGTTCAAAAGATCATCTTTCAAAATCATCTCTGATTGCTCTGGAGTTAAGACTTAAAAAATGGCCATTTAAATTTTTGTTAGAGAAATAAAGTTGGTTTCAATCTTTATGGAAGAATGGAATTCAATTTTAGTCATACAAAAAGTATACTGACTTGTTAAACTAGCAACAGCTCGTCTTTAGTTTGACCTTATGATAATGATTTTATTATTCTCATCTATTTTATATAACAATGACAATAAAAGTATTCTTATAGAATAGTTAAGGATATCTTCCAAAAACATTTCAAATGTTTCGAGTTTGAAGGTAAAGTTATGCTGAGCAAGTAGTCTAAGAAGCAGGAGTTTTGACTAACATAACAGTAAAAGAACAATGCAGCGATTTATTCCGGTCTAAGTTTCTTGCGGCCACGATATTTGTCTCATTAATTTCTGTGTCTATCACAGCATCTTACCTTGCTTATTTATTTAGGAGTCATTATCTACAGTACAGACTTTTCCCCTACAAAATGTCTAATTGCTCACTATCTTCATTTTTCCCCCATCAATTTTAAGGCATCTTCACTTCCACATTCTTGCTGAGGACTATCCAGAATGTTCCTAGTGGCTGGTGTTGGGAACTGTCTGAATCAAAGTCCTTCTTGTGGGGTATTTTCTTTCAGACTTAGGAAGAAAATACATGCATTTAAATTCTCATTTAAAATTTTTGAATTTAGAAGATTTAAGGTTGGTGGCTTTTTTAAAAAAACTTTTTAGATTCTAAGAATAATATATGTTCTTTGTATAAGATTTGGAAGATTGAGCAATCATAAAAATAACCACACACAGAGAAACTATTGTTAATGTTTTAGTGTTCTTTCTAACCCCCCTTGCCCTTACCTCTGCCCATGTTTTATAATACATAAAGTTTTAGATTCTTTGTAGTGTTTCCCCATTTTCACAAATTCTTTGGAGACATTTTTTTTTAAAATTTTAATTTTTATTTTGTCAATATACAATGTAGTTAGTTATTGTGTCCCATCACCAAAACCTCCCTCCCTCCTCCCTCTTCCCCCCCTTACCGGTCAGAAAAAACAAAAACAAACAAAAAAAGTAATAAATTCATTGGTATTTAGTATGTTCACAAGGTTGTGTAGCCAGTATCTGTTGTTGTTGCTGTTTGTTTGTTTTTGTGTGTGTGTGAGTGTGTGTGTGTGTGTGTGTGTGTGTGTGTATGAATGTGTGTGAATTGATTCATTCACCTTTAGCTCCCCTTTGGAGACATTTTTAATGGATATATAATCCATCATGTGGATGCACTATATATAATTAACACATTTTATAAACTCTTTTCCTTCTTGCTTTTCCAGATTTTGCTGAATTATGTATGTAGTTTTTTTGAGGAAAATTTTTCTTTTATTCCAGTTGTCAGTTAAAAAAAATTCTAATTCTGGTGAGAGTACTGCTAGTAATATACCTATATTTCATTAATTTATCAGTCCACTGATTCATTTAATAAATATTTTTGAGAACTAATTATGTGTCAGGCAGAATTTAAGGACACTCAATTTACAATCTGGTGTAGAAGAGAGGTAAGAAACAAGTAATTACAATACAGTAAAATCAGTGTTATAATAGGACCCCATTAGAGCTAAGATGAGGGTACCTGTCTTGGTTTGAGGTTTAGGGAGGGTAGTTAGGAAAACCTTACCCATCTTACCAGAGGAGGTGAACATAAGCTGGGTCTTGGGACTCATGATAGTAAGGTAGTCAAACAGTGAAGGTGAGCAGGAAGGCATTCGAGGCCGAGGGAATAGCACATGCAAAGGCATGGAGGTTTCAGATAGCATATCAAGTTCAGGATGCTTTAATATTAATATTAAAAATGGCTTCAACGTATAGTGCTTGTGAGGGAGCAGCAAGAGAGGAAGCTGAGTAAGTGGGCAGAGGTTATTTCATGAAGGGCCTTAAATATCATCCTTACCAGGCACTGTGCCTTTTTGGGAGGCACAAACATAAAGAAGGACAAAGTCCTTGGGGAATGTGTTTATAGCTTTAATTCTCATTTATGCATTAGCAGTTCTCAAATTAGTATCCTTAGCCCAGACCTTTCCTTGGAGCCCCAGATTTGTATGTCTAACTGCCTCATTGCCATTTCTAGAATATATATATAGAATGTAAGATCTATGAGAGCAAGTATTTCATTGCATTTGTTCCCTGCTGTATCTGCAGTACCTAGAAGAGTGTCTGGCAGTAATTTGTCAAATGATTAAATAAGTGAATGATTCTGTACTCGTATCTCTCAGAGACATCTAAGACGCCACATATCTGAAATCAACTTCATGATCTTCCTCTAACCTGCCCCTCTCCTAATGCTCCCCATTTCAATGATTGTCACCATCTGTTTAGTTCCATAAGACAGAAGTCTGGGTATATCTTTTTGACATATCCCTGTTTCTCCTCACCTTCTGTATCCATTGTATCACTAATACTTACTGAATTTTTGACATGTTTCTCATATGTCTATTTCTTTCCATTTCTACTGCTGTAGTCTAAGCTACTATCATCTCTCTCTTAGTTTTATACAATAGTAGTAAACTCTTACTATCTGCTCTTGTCCCTTTTCAATCTATTCTCCATGTTACTATTGGACTAATACAAACAAAAAAAACCCCAGACCTACATAATCTGATTTCTGTTATTCCTGTTTGAAACCATTTGCTCTTAGGATAAAGAACACAATTCCTAACTTGGTCCACAAGGCCCTGTGTGCTCTGGCTTCTAACTCTGTAGCCTGATCTTGTACCACTTTTTTGGACTTTATATGCTCCTGTCACATTCACTTTTTTAGTTCTTTTGATAGACCATGCTTTCTCCTGCCTCAGAACTATAATGTATAATTAGTAGTTTTTAATAGATATTATTAAATGGAATGTCTATTGTTAGAGAAATGAATGTATCAGTATTTTTGAGTAGATATTTATAAACTTAAAAGGATAGTGTTCTGTGTAGCATTCTTTTCTTGAAAAGTAAACTGTGAATTATTGCAAATAAGCTCACGCATTTTCATTTATAATTTGTTCTTCTTTCAGATTATATCACACATCTCAATTTTCCCTCAAGTCAGTTGTAAAACAGACTTATGAGATATATTTCTTCTTATTTTAAAATAAGATAACATTTTCTGTTGTAAATTTAAGCCATTCTGTTTTTTAAAAAATGTTGTGGTGTTGAGATAGGAAGAAAATGCCTTAATTTAAAAACAAAAGAGAACAATTAGACTTTGTATGAAAGTAGTGACTTCATCAATATGAGTAGAATCCTCCATTCTGAAGATAGTCAATGTTTTTTATGAGATTTCAAATCACCTTCTCTCATTACAAATTTTGGATATTCTCACAAGCACCAAAGCTGAGCTGTGTTACTAAATTGATTTATTGTGTTAAATTGTGAGCAATTGAGGGAGATTATTGCTTGGTTTTATGTGATAATTTTGTTATATATTTGGTATTAAATGTTTTTTGTAATTAAAATATTTATAGAATATCTTATTCTATAAGATTTCTGTAAAATGAGAATTTGCTTTTCTGTTTCTGTCTGTACAATGAGAAATTCGTGTGTTCATTTCCAGTTCAAATTGTATTCAATCACTTAAGTAATTGTAGCAGATATGGCACCATATAATATATACTGATTACTTATTTTTCCTTAAATTTTTTTTCTTTAAGTCAGTGCAAAAGATTAAACTTCAGAAGAATGCAATCAAGTGATGGCTTTTTCTTTAGAATTTGAATATGGAGGCCACAGGAACAGATGAAGTTGACAAGCTAAAAACTAAATTTGTATCTGCTTGGAACAACATGAAATACAGTAAGTATCATGATTTAAAAATTATCTAAATCCCCCCCCAAAATTGAAGATATGTATGTATCTTCTTTATTAAGTCACTGACAGTGATTTGAACATAAAGGAAATATTTTGCTTTGAAAGAAATATTTCTGTAAGAAATGCAGTTAAGAATATCTCTTGAAGAAAGAGCTTAGAAACTCAAGCATTTTATGTGGTTTCCCCTCTTTTTTTAAAAGTTGGTGAGTATATCGATATTCTAATGGCTTGTGTACCTTTTTTTAACATTCCAAAGCAGGTAGAATTTATTCACGTGATGATAATATGATACCTCAGTTCTTCAGATTCTGTTTCAAGGAGCCTTCCAGCCAGGAAGTAAGCAAGGTAGACTTCTGATCACAAAAAACAAACAGTGTAAAGTTGTTGCACTGATACTTCTGACTTTTCTCCTAGATGTGTCCTTATACCCTTAATTTTGACCTAAATTACTCTTGGTTTGCAAACAGATCTAAGAAGGATTATTTGGAGATTTTTGAAACCCACCTAAGATGAGGAATACTCAGGCAGAACCATTTTAAATAGGAAAAAGTTCATATCCATAAAATAGGAATGATAACAGAATTCAGTGAAACCCCTTGGTAATGCAAATTCAGGTAAAACACAATTGGCAATTGGCTCCTGGTCCACTGCAAGTTATGGCCAGCTAGCTATGTATACAGCTATAACTTAGCAACAATGTGACATTGCATTTTGAAAATTATGAACATTAATTTTTAAAAAACTGAAATGTAATTCAAATACTGCAAAATGCACCATTTAAAAATGTACAGTTGAAAATTTTCATTTATCCGTTAAAAAAAGTAATAAACGGGCCGGCCCCGTGGCTCACTCAGGAGAGTGCGGCCCTGGTAGCACCAAGGCTGCAGGTTCGGATCCTGTATACGGATGGCTGGTGCACTCACTGGCTGAGTGTGGTGCAGACCACACCATGCCAAGGGTTGCGATCCCCTTACCGGTCAGAAAAAACAAAAACAAACAAAAAAAGTAATAAATTCATTGGTATTTAGTATGTTCACAAGGTTGTGTAGCCAGTATCACTAATTCCAGAATGTTTTCATCTCTCTGAAAAAGCAACCTCGTATCCATTAGCAGTTACTCCTTATTGCCCCTCTTCCTGCATCTCCAGGAAACTACCTATCTACTTTTTGTCTATATGGATTTGACTTTTCTGGATATTTCACATGAATATGATCATACAGCTTTTGGCCTTTTGTGTTTGACTGCTGTCATTTAGCATAATGTTTCAGTGTTCACCCATGTTGTGGCGGGTATGTATTAGAGTACTTCATTCCTTTATATGGTTGAATAATATTTCATTGTGTGGCTATACCACATTTTGTTTACCGTTTATCAGTTTATAGATATTTTTGTTGTTTCTACTTTTTCTATTATCAATAATGCTGCTATGAACGTTTGTGTACAAGTTTTTATGTGAATATGTTTTTAATTCTCTTGGGTCTATACCTATTAATGGCATTGCTGAGTTATAAGTTAACTCTTAAGTTTAACTTTTTGAGGAACTGCCAAACTGTTTTCCAATGTGGCTGCACCGTTTGATATTCCCACAAGCAGTCTTTGAAGATTTGAATTTCTCCATATCGTCATTAACACTTATTATTATCATCTTTTATTAAAACCATTCTAGTAAGTTTGAAGTGGTATTGCAATGTGATTTTAATTAGCATTTCTCTGATTACTGATGTTGAGCATCTTTTTATGATGTTACTGGCTATTTTTATATCTTTGGAGAAATGTCTGTTCAGATCCTTTGCCCATTTTGTAATTGGGCTATTTGCCTTTTTATTGTTAAGCTGTAAGAGTTCCTACATTTCTAGATACAAATCCTTAGCAAGTATATGATTTGCAAATTTTTTTCTTCCATTATTATGGAGTTGCAAATGTTGTCTTTTCACATTCCACCCCCTTATTCAAAGGAGAGTAAGAATGGAAGTCTTTTCACTTTCTTGATAGTGTGTATTAAAGCACACAACTTTTTAATTTTGGTGTTCAGTTTGTCTATTTTTTTTTTTTTTTGGTTGCTTGTGGTTTTGATATTATAACAAACTGTTGCCTAAATCAAGAATATGAAAATTTATACTCATGTTATCTTTAATGATTTTTATTGTTTTAGCTCTTATGTTTAAGTCTTTCATCCATTTTGAGTTATCTTTTGCATATGGTATGAGGTAGGGGTACAACTTCATTCTTTTATATGTGGCTATTTAGTTGTCCCAGCATCATTTGTTGAAAAGACTATTATTTCTTCATTGAATAGTCTTGACACCTTTGTCTAAAATTAATTGACTATAGATATTTCTGGACTCTCAGTTCTCTTCCATTTATCTATATGTATATCTTTATGCCAGTACCACTCTGTTATGATTACAGTAGCATTACAGTGAAATTTGAAATTGGAAAGTCTGAGTCTTTTGACTTTGTTCTTTTTCAAGATTGTTTTGGTTATTCTGGATCCCTTGCATTTTCATATGAATTTTATGATTATTTTGCCAGTTTCTGCAAGAAAATCAGCTGGGATTTTAATAGGGATTTCATTGAATCTGTAGATCAATTGGGGGATGTATTGCCATCTGAAGAATATTAAGTCTTCCAATATGTAAATATAGATGTCTTTCCACTTGTGTAGATCTTTTAAAATTTCTTTCAATGTTGTTTTGTAGTTTTTAGTTTATAAGTCTTGTACTCATTTGTTAAAGTAGTAATCTCTACTTTTTTCTCTGTGATGCTATTATATGGTGAATTGTTATCTTAATTTTATTTTGGATTTTTCATGCTGGTATATAGAAGTACAATTGGTTTTTATAATTTGATCTTGTATCCTGTAACCTGGATGTTCTCCTTTATGAGTTCCAATAGTTTTTTGTGGATTCCTTAGGATTTTGTGTATGTAAGATCATGTCATCTGTAATTAGAGATTTGTGTTCTTGTTAAGTCATTCAAAATTTGATGAATAGGTTATGTGATGAAGATTTCATTTATAAGGTCTGAAAATTGTTATACAGGTACTCGATAACACATTTTCAGTAGTATCCTAGGAATTGTTATTTAATATATACATGTATATAGCTCTGTATTTAGATATTTAAGTGGGCATAGTAAAATTATGGTAATCTCAGATCTCTGAAGAACACATTGTTCAGTGTACCTAAGTGTTCTAGATAGCTTTAAGTTATAGAGTAGTGTTTTAGTTTGATTTTTATTGGTGAAAATCCTTCTAGAATGTTTTATATATTTTCCTTTCTTAGAGTTTGTGTAGTATTGGCAATATAGGAAGGACTAATATTGATTGAGCACCCATTATGTGCTAGGCTTTATAGTAGATACTTTCTGTATCTTCTCATTTCAATGTCATATCTCTCTGAGATAAGTATGGACATTCTTTTTTCGTAAATTAGAAAACTGAGATAAAGTACCATATTCAAGGTTGCATATCTAGGTGAATGTTTAAACTGATTCACACCCAGCTTTCTTTTTTAAAATTTTTTTATTTTTTATTTAAAAAATTTTTTTTAAAAGAATGACCAGTAAGGGGATTTTAACCCTTGACTTGGTGTTGTCAGCACCATGCTCACCCAGTGAGCCAACCGGCCATCCCTATATGGGATCTGAACCCATGGCTTTAGTGTTATAAGCACCACACTCTCCCGAGTGAGCCATGGGCCAGCCCACACACCCAGCTTTCTTAGTCTTGTTATTCTCTAACTACAGTGTACATAATTTAGGATTATTTTTATCAAGGTAAGTATTTTGTAATGATGATGATGGAGCTAGAAATGGCAAAGCACTTAACATATCAAGGCATTGGACTTTACTTTTTTGAAAAAGTTTTTCATTTTTGCTTTCTTATTTTCCCTTTATTTGCATGAGTTTATGATGTGTATAAACTTGACTTCCTCTTTAAAAAGTTAATAAGTAAATGATCTTTCCTCTGGGTGTTTCTGATCCTCCAGAAAATCACTATGATCTTTATTATTTCTATACTCTTTGTCTTATTAATATCTTTTTAAGCCTTATTTGTGATTTTCAAGTTGCCAATTTAATGGACTATAGGTTTTTCTGGTAGGATTCTATTTGTGGTTGCTAATCTCCAAAGATGGCCCTCAGTGAACCAAACCTTGTATTGTCCTTTCTGTCATTGAATCTGGGCTGGTCTGTGTTTCACATTAACTAGTAGAATGAGGTAGGAGTGATGCTGTGTCAATTCCAGGCCTAGCCATTAAGAGATGACTTCTGCTTACTCTGTTTTGGAGCTCCAAACTGTTAAGTAACCAGTTTAGGTACTCTGCTGGAGAAATCACATGGAGAGGCCACACAAAGAGGAAAGTCCCTGAGACTACATGAGAGAGAGGGTATCAGCTGACTCAGTTGAGCCTCTCTGATTCCCAGTACATTGGAGACTCGAAGCAAGACCAGTGGAAAAACTACTCAGTTGAGCCCAGGCCAACTGACAGAACTGTTTGAAATAAGAAAAAAAGTTACTGTTTTAAATCACTAAGTTTAGAGTAGTTTGTTAAACAGGAATAGATAACTAAAAACACTTCCTCAGCTCATTTCTTGAATTTTTTTTTTTTTTGTAATTGAGGGGAAATTGATGTAAAGTAAAATGGATGTTTCTTAAGTATACCATCTAAAGAATTTGACACATGTATACACCTGTGAAACCAACAATCCTATCATTACATAGAAAATTTTCTTTTTCCAATAAAGTTTCCTTATGCTTCCTTTTGGTCAGTTCCTACCCCTCATGGACAATTACTCCTCTGCATCAATTTATTGAATAGCCAGTTTGCCACATATCCAGTTTGTAAAATGTACTTGCTTTTCTTAACTTGTTTAGTTTTATTTAATTAATTTTTTTCATTTAGAAATCATAACAATATTTAATTTCTTTCTTTTTTTTTTTTTTTCCCTTTCTGTCTTTTTTCGTGTCTGGCAACGGATCGCAACCCTCAGTGTCGCGCCCGTACCGGACTGGGACTGGCAATGGGATCGCAACCCTCGGTGTCGCGCCCACACCTCGCTCAGCCAGTGAGCGGGAACCGGTCTGTATGTGGGATCCTAACCCTCGGCGGGAGCGCCATCGCACTCCCAAGCGGCGCACTGTAGCAGTGCGCCACCGGGCCGGCCCAAGATAAACACTCTTGAGGACCAGAAATATAATGTGATGAGCAGGGCTGAAGCTCTGGGTTTGCAGAGCTCTGGGTCTTTAAGTCAACACGGGCAACAAGAATTGGATTCTTTCTGTGGGTAACAGAAAATAAAAATATTTCATACTGGTCTGAAGCTAGGCTCATGACTGAAGCCAGGGGTGAATATTTAATTTATTTCTGTTCTACCTGCCTGGTATGATAGGTACAGATTTAGGAGGAAGGAGGAGATTGAGGAATAGAATAAAAATATATTCTTGAATATGAACAATTCTGATGAATATATTCTTAATATGTATAAGAACAACTTATTCATAGGAATACTTCTTATTCATGGCTTTTTCCTATGCCCGAAGCTCTATTATCCACTGGCTCTATGGTTTTTATAGCCTTCATATTTTTCCTTTCTCTGCCTCATCGTATCCTGGTTCAGCATCAGTGAGATGGGACAGAGATAAGTGGTAAATTTCTTATAATGCAAAAGATAAGATGAAAATTGGTCAACTAAAGCTTAATAATTAAAAGAAAAAAGTACATTCTGTAGATTAGTCATTTGGCATATGGGTCTGATTCAGCTTCAGCATGCCTTGGAAAAGAGAAAAATGGTTGGACCTTGTGAGAAGTCCTGAGTCCTCTTATGCACCTAGCTTCATGGAGTATTAAAGGAAGTCAGTCTATTATGAGGAGTTAGGCCCCGCCAGAGTCTGCATAGGGAATAGAGTAAGAGAGAATATGCATGGCATGATTGATGTTTGAACTTTAAAGCACTATAATCCTGTGCTCTTGTGAAATGTGGACCCTTGCAGTGCCTCAGGCTCTGACCAATCAGACTCACAGCTTTTATTTTCTTGAGGAAGGACTGGTGATTGGTAAGAGGGAGTAGGTAGAAGGTAAAGTATAGGAAGAAAGGGAAAAGTTCCTCTTTAAAGATTGTTTCTTTTTATGTGAGCTTGTTTTTATTAAGTTCTTATGAATTGCTTTGGAAATTCTGCCTTTCGGGGATTAGAAGCATTCCAATACAATACTACTAACATTTCTAACACATAATGTATGTGAAGCTCGTAGCCTTGTTCTTCATGTATAATAAGTGGTCAGTAAATACTAATTTCCCATTGGAGTTTAGAGAAGAAGATCAGAGCCAAGTGGTAAAAGGAAAAAATGGCTTAGAAAAGTATGTTTGAACCAGAAGAAGTAGAATTTAGATGGCTGATATTGGGGAATACATTGTTGTCAGGGGATAGCATGAGCCAAGTAGCAAAGCCCACTTTGAGTTTAGGTGAAGGGTAGTGGGAAATATGACTATAAAGGTAATTTGTATCATATTGTGGAAAGTCTTTAGTATGCTTGAGTGGTTCATAATAAATCTAAGTAACGAATAATTGAGGATTTTTTGTTTGTTTTGGGATAGCTGGCCCCCTTCCAGGGATCTAAACCTTTGACCTTATTGTGATAACACTGCACTGTAACTGATTGAGAGGATGTTTTTTGAGCAGAAGAGTAACTTAACTGATCAGAGCTGGGCCACAGGGAGATTAATTTTTCAGTAATATATGGTATTTGCTATAGTGGGGAAAGACTGACTGCAGAGAAACTGTTTTGCAAAGTATTGCAGTAATTCAAGTGAAGCTTAATGAAGCCAAGTTAGTGTATTTGACTTCCCATTCTCCTTTATCATCAAATTCAGACTCGTGTCATCTTTATTATAAATACATATTTTATTTATTTGCATACTACATTAGGGAGCCCTTTTATAGAAATCACCCCTTTTAAACTTTTTAAGAACTCTCTTAAATATAAAGGGCAGATAATCTACTTAAGACTAGACCCAAGTCTTGTGGACTCCCAATTTCAGATTCTTTCTTTTTATACACTCTTGCATTTTAAGCCTACCATCAGTAGTCAGGAATTTCATATACAGTCAGCCCTCTGTATTCTTAGGTTCTGCATCTGTGGATTTAACTAACCGTGGATCAAAAATATTTTTTTTTTAAAATTGCATCTATATTGAACATGTACAGATTTTTTTTCTTGTTATACAGTATAATTTTCTAAACAATCCAGTATAATAACTGTTTATATAGCATTTACATTGTATTAGGTATTATAAGTAATCTAGAGATGATTTAAAGTATAAGGAGGATGTGCGTAGGTTATGTGCAAATACTCCACCATTTTATATGAGAGGCTTGAGCATCCTCAGATTTTGGTATTCATGGGAGGTCCTGGAACCACTCCCCATGGATCCTGAGGGACAACTCTACTTGGGAATATTCAGGATGTAGCTGGCATGTGCTTTTCTCGGAAAATTCAGAATTATTAATGACATCTTGAAAAGCCAAAAAATACTACCTTTTAGATAGTGACAATTTAGTAGGAAGAAAAAGTTGGAAAAATTAGAGTTTGCAGCTAAAGTTGGGGGTTGAAGGTTGGGAGGTGGAAAATTGGGATGAAGATGTCTGAAAACTTTATACAGCTCTTTCAGAATCCTCATTTGGCCAGATTGATGAAGTTATAACAGGTTTCCCTAGGAACTTTCAGAAATCCACTTTTATCATGAGTGCTAGTCTACTGTGTGATTATTTTCCTGAAATACTTCACTGAAATATTCAAATTCCGTAAGCCTTTTGATTATTTATGATGGAAGGAAACACAAGAAATTGATAACATTTATTGCCTTTGGGAAAAGTGGTTGGTATCAGAATCTGAAGTAGAATTTGTACCTTTTGAATTTTGTATCGTAAGAACATTGTGACCTGTCTGAAAATGAATTAAAATTAAAGTTTTCTTTTTCTTTCTCATGCTCTTTAAGTGAATAGAATGTGCTTTATTTGAAAGTACCATAAATGGCCTGTGTTTTCAGTTTATTCTCCAAATATTTTGCAACTCTTAGAAAAAAATGCACGTCATGTGATAATTAATGGTTTGAAATAAAAAAAAATGCTGCTAGACTTTTAGTCTGAAATCTTTTAATTGCAAAACATTTTTTTCCTTTTTTCCTTAGGTTGGGTGTTGAAAACAAAGACATATTTTAGTAGAAATTCCCCTGTATTATTGCTTGGAAAATGTTACCATTTTAAATATGAAGGTAAGTGCTAAATTTGTAAACCATTTAAAAATCTTTGTAGAAATTCATTGTGTAACTTTTTATTATTCTATACCCGGATTAATCTACTTTTGGCATATTTCTGTTAAGTACCTGTTATATAACCCATAATATATTACCATATAGTTTGGGTTTCTTGTGAACTATGTGAGGATAAGGATCATATATATCATCTTTTGTTATATTACTCATAGTTTTGAATTTATAGTGTGAGTACTAAGTAAATATTATTTGAATTGATATATTAATATGATATTTTTTATCACATTCTCTGATACTTTTTTTTTTTTTTTTGACTGGTAAGGGGATTGTAACCCTTGGCTTGGTGTTGTCTGCACCACGCTCAGCCAGTGAGTGCACTGGCCATCCCTATATAGGTTCCAAACCTGCGGCTTCAGCACTACCAGCACCACAGTCTCCCGAGTGAGCTACGGGGCCGGCCCATCTGATACTTCTAATTATTATCATATACTTTAAAGTTATCACCTTAGTTAACCTAAAAATGGTAATTTTTCCAGTTCTTAACGATACTTGAGTATATGAAATTATTGACTTTATTTGATGTTTCTGAACTTCCACATATACTCATTCTTTCAATAATTATGTTTTTAAAAAATAATTTACACCACTTACTGAGTGCCAGGCACCATGCTAGGCTCTTCAGGAAATATCTTTAATTCTCACAACAAGCCTACAAGGTAGATTTTAGTAATCCCATCTCATGAATGTGAATGCAGGAGCTTAGAGAAGTTAAATAATTTGTCCAAAGTCACATGGGTATTAAATGGCAGAGCTGAAATTTGAACAAAGACTATGTTTTTTATACTGCTGTTCTTTTTAATATATGTCTTTGCTTGGTTTTGTGTGTGAGAGAGAGAGAAAGGGAGAGAGGGAAAATGTGTTTGAGAGTATGTTATCAGCAAAGCTTTTATTCATTTTTGCTTGACCGATTTTGTTATATTATTTATCAGCAATTTTCTGTAACCTTGTAAGTGGCTTATATTAATAATAGCCAACATTTATTGAGCATTTATAATGTGCCAGGCTGTATTGTAAGTAATTTACATGTACTAAGTCATTGAGTCTTCACAACAATCTTGAAGTATGAGTAAGAACTACAAATCAATTTGAAAAACACAACCCAAGAAAACTGAGTCAAGAAAATGAACAGGTGATTTTTAAATAGAAACTTGAATGGCCAAGTATAAGAAAATGCTTATCCTAGTAATAAGGAAAATGCAAATTAAAGTGAGATATAATTTCTTAATTATCAGATAGGCAAAAATTTAAAAGTTTGATGATACCAAGTATTAGTAAGGATAAAAAGAAATAGGAATTCAAACACTGCTGGTGGGAAGATAATTTGGTACAGCCTCTTTGTGAGAAATTTGAGCATACTTAGAAAAATCAAAAATGTATGTAACTTAGGACCGAGCATTTCTACCTTTCAGTATTTACCCTAAAGAAGTTTTCTGTATGTGTGGAGAACACATGTACAAGAATGTTTATTGTAGCTTCTTTGAAATAACAAAAAATTGGAAACAACTTAAGTATTCACAGGTAGAGAATTAGATGAATAAAGTTATTTCATTCATTCCACAAATATTTACTGAGAACTTACTAAGTGCCAGGCACTGGGGTTACTGATGTAAGTATGGCAGACACCATCTTTACTCTCAAAGAACTTTCTGTCCAACAGATTGAAACATTAAACAAATAATTACAAAATAATTAATCCTATCATGATATTTGTGATGAAGCACAAATACAGGCTGTTATAAAATTATAGAGTGAGATCAAATCAGAAAGAGTGCTATTGGATGCAAATAAGCAGAAAGTCCATTTCAAAATGGTTTAAACAATAAAGGGATTTATCATACACAAGCAGAAGTCCTGAGGTAGGGATGGCTTTAGGTGTGTTAAATCAGTGCCTTATGACATCAAGGACCTATATTCTGTCCATTTTCCCACTCTGCTAATCTCAGCATGCTGGCCTTATCTTCACCTAGTGTTCCTTATAGTAGCAAGTATAGGAGATATGACATAATCCAGTGGAAGGACTTTTTCTTCTTTGTATTACTTATTATAAGTACTTAATTTTTATTATTTTATTAATTTTATAATAAAATAATAAAAGTTATTATTAAGTCCTTAAAATATTAAGGACTAAAATTACTAAGTCCTTAAAATATTTGAAAGAACTATTCATACATGTAGAAGATAAAAACCTTGATTTTATCCTTTCAAGTCTACTAATAAAACTGTACTCAATGTAAGAAATACATTATGAGAATCTTAAAGTCTGTGTGCTTCTGTATACCCATAAAAACTATCCTGAAGTGTCCTTGATTATTTAGTGTCTCTTGTTTTTTATATTTTTGTAAATGGAATCATGCTATATTTTGCTCTGTGACTTGCTTATGGCTTTCAAAGTTTTATTTTTGAGGTTTGTCCATGTTGTTGAATGTAGATCTAGTTTATTTTTACTGCTGCATAATATTCCATTGTGTGAATTGCCACAAATTATTCATTCCACTGTTGATAGACATTTGGATTGCTTTTAGTTTCTTCCCATTATAAGCAGTGTATATAGTACATTCATGTATGAGTACTGTTGTGGAAATTAGACTATATTCTCAGAAGTTTTGGAAATAGAACATTTGCTGTTCACTAATAGTATCTATGTGCTGGAAAGAATGAGGGGAGTTGACCATTAGTCAGAAGAATATCTCATTTCTGTTTTTATCACCATTTTATGTATTCTCCTTTTCTAATGAGTATAACCCAAAATTATCCCCTTACATCTTTCCAGAAATTGTTTTGGATCCACAGATATTGTTTTGGATCCTTGTACTTAACAGCACACAAATTTAAGTGAGTCAAGTAGAATTTTGAAAACAGGAGGTAACGGTAAATGAGGTCACACATGCATTTGAAAAGAGATTCAAATATACATTTTGAAAATAAAGGGGGTCTCAGCAAACAAAGTAAAGAATAAAACAAGAGGAGTCATTGTAAATATTGTAAAGGGGAGTCACAGTAAACAAAGTAAGATCAAAGGGATTTGTAGTATTTGTTCAGAAGAACAAAGGGGAGCATGAAATGGAAAGAATAATGTATATTAAGGATATTTTTTGTTAGTGGAGTTTTTAAACTTTTAGGTTACATGACATCAAGGTCTGTTGATTGTTGGGGGCTAATTTCCCTCTTCTGTGGGTATACAAACCTAGAATATTTAAAGATTTTTGAATCTTAAAACTGATATTACTTTGGTAAATTTCTAGTTCATAACACTTGTCCTGCCTTGCCAAGACTTTCTTTGTTGTCTCAACAGAAATATAATACTCTATTCATGTCATTTAAGATATTTTAATGCTGACGTTTTCTCTTTGTCATTTATGGACTCATAGCTTTTCACATTTTCCCTTTGTTGGTTGACCTCATCCAGTAATCTCCTTTCGATGCTCAAATCGTCTCCACTTTAGCCAGTGGAAGGTCCTTTGCGATTGACTTCTTTGTTTTTTAACAAAACCTAATTAATGATGGAAACTCAGTGCTTTCTTTCATAGTAAGGTGTTCAAGCCCACTTTGTACTTAGCCTTAGATATAAAATTAGCCATTTCCCAGTGAATTTATTTTAGCTGAAAATAGCATTAGAATAATCTGAGAGCAAGGCATTGTAGGGCCAACATTGCCCCTAGGCCATTTCAGTGAACAGATCTAGAGCAGATAAATAAATATTTTCAGTGTTTTTCTTAAAAAGGCATGAGTTCATATTATTACTTCCTATCCAGTTCTAACTGGATCATTTTTCTACTTAATTTCTTGATTCCTCAGTTAGTACCTGTATTAGTCCATTTCTGTTGCTTATGATAGGATATATGGAATTGGGTATTTTATAAAGAAAACAAAATTTATTGCTTATAGTTTCAGAGGCTGGGAAGTCCAAAGTCCAAGAACACATCTGGTGAAAGCTTTCTTTGGTGGTGATTTCAGTGATGGCAGAATGGCAAGATGATGGAGCAGAGAGCACAGAGAAAGATTCTCCTTTCTCTTCTTTTAAAGCCCTGAGAACCATGACCCTGATCACCATTTTTAATCCATTCACTGTGGCACGGTCCTACAATCTAATCACCTCTTCAAGGCTCCACCTTTCAATTACCATAATAGGATTTCCCACCCTCTTAACAGTCACAGTGGGAGCCGAGTTTCTAATACATAAAACCTGGGGGACACAATTCAAGCTTCAGTGAGTTTTGGAGGGACATAATTCAATCTACTTCAGTACCTTTTTCGATTATATAGAAATTTTCTAGTAGTTCCTTTCATTCTGCTAAGGATTTTAGTGAGGTTACTTTAGCTGGAGTCACTCATCTCATTCTCTGTGGCATTTATCTGATGGATAGTTTTGTTCATTTGTCTCAATTCTCTTTCCTTTTGAAGGCATTGACATTCTGATATCTCACAGGTCTAAGTGCTTAGAAGATGGTGGCCTTCAGCTACAGTGGTTTTATTTCACCACTCTCTGCGTCATCTATAATGAATTAATTTATACTATTAAATAAGTACAAGATTCTTAAACTTGATTCTGCCTCTATTATTTAATTTCTGATAATATAAGGACATGTTTGCAAAAATTAGATTATTTTAACAATGCTAAATGTGTTCTGATCTCTCAAGCTTTTAAATTTATCTTGCTACCTTTTCTGAGCTGTAAACTCCTTTCCCTATATTATGCAATTTTTCCTTCCCAGTTTAAGATATCATGCTGTACCGTGATATCAAGATTTATAGAATAGGGGCTGGCTGGCTAGTTCCGTTGGTTAGATTGTGGTGTTGTAACACCAAGTTCAAGGGTTTGGATCTCCACACCAACCAGTCCCCCTGCCCCCCCCCCAAAAGATTTATAATATATAAATTCAAACAGTCCTCCTAGTATTATCTTGAGCAAATACCAGAATTTAAACAAATTTTTGTAGGGTATCTGTGAGCTATCTGTGAGGAAGACAGTTCTGGATTTGATCTTATTTTCAGTAAGTCTCATTTTCCCACAGATACCATAGCCCCATCTGGCTAGGATTTTTCTGGGTTTTCTCTTAGATGATTGAAGACATCATGGGCCTGGGAGCCATTAAGGAAAAACTGTAGTTTGGGGGTTATCTCTAGTATGCCAATTGTATCTCAGAAACCAAAATGATTTAACATATATCATTGTGGATTTGTCTATTTTCCCCTGCAGTTTTATAAGTTTTTGCTTCATTTATTTTGAAACTCTGTTATTAGATGCATAAATATTTAGGATTATTATGGTCTCTTAATGAATTGATTCTTTTGTAATTATCAAATGACCTTCTTAATTTCTGGTGATTTTTTTTTACTCTGAAATCTACTTTGTTTAATATTAATATAGCCACTTCAGCTTTCTTTTGCTTAAGGTTGCATGGTACATTGTTTTCCATTCTTTACACTTAACCTATTTGTGTTTTTATATTTAAAAATGTGTTTCTTGTGGGAGGTAGATAGTTGGGTCTTGCTTTTTTATACAATCTGAAAATCTCTGCCTTTTAGTTAAGGTGTCTAAACTATTTACATTTAGTGTTTTTATTGATATTGTTAGGTTTAAATGTATCATCTCATTATTAGCTTTCTATTTGTTAGATCAGCTCCCTTTCCCTCTTTTTCTACCTGCTTTTGGATTGAGTATTTTTTACGATTCCATTTTATCTCATTTATCATATCTAGAAGTTCCATATTATTTTTTAATCTTCCATGTTTCTACTTACTTTTTTGAACATATGGAATATATAGTTGTAATAACTTTTAATGTCCTTGTAGTAACTTTTAGTGTTCTTGATTGCTAATTCTATCTTTTATGTTAGTTCTGGGTCAGATTTGATTCATTGAATATTCTCATTTTGTTTTGTGGTTCCTACTTCTTTGCATGACTGGTAATTCCTGATTAATTGCCAGATACTGTGTCATTTACCTACTTGGGAGCTGGATACTTTTATATTCCTATGAGTATTCCATTGTGTGACTATACCACACTTTATCCATTTCACTCCTGGTGGTCATTTGGATAGCTTTTAATTTTTGGCAATTGCTAAAAGCCGTCTTGTGAAAATTCTAGTACATGTGCTTTGGTGAACATGTGTATGGATTTTCATTCAGTATATATTCCTAAGAATGTAATTGCTGGGTCACAGGGTATTTATATGTTCAGCCTCAGTATATACTGCCAAACAGTTCTACAGAATAGTTGTGTCAATTTGTATTCCTACCATGTTTGTATGAGAATTCTGCTTACTCTCACCTCACTAATACTTGGTATTTTTATCTTTTTATTAGACCCACATTTTGATTTTAATTTGCATTTCTCAACTGATGAAACTGAGCATATTTTCATATGTTTATTTGCCATTTGGATATGTATTCTATTAGATTATCTGTGTTTTTCTTATTAATTCCTACATCTTCTTTATATATTCTGTATATGACTCCTTTTTTGGACATATTTATAGGAATGTATTCTCCTACTCTGTTAGTTGCTTTTTTTTTTTCCTTTTTGTCTTTTTTCGTGTCTGGCAACGGATCGCAACCCTCAGTGTCGCGCCCGTACCGGACCGGGACCGGCAACGGGATCGCAACCCTCGGTGTTGCTCCCACACCTCGCTCAGCCAGTGAGCGGGAACCGGTCTGTATGTGGGATCCGAACCCTCGGCAGGAGCGCCACCGCGCTCCCAAGCGGTGCACTGTAGCAGTGCGCCACCGGGCCGGCCCCTTTTTCACACACTTTTGAAGAACATAGTTATTAATATGGCTAGTTAACTTTTTTGCCCCTTAAATGGTTAGTGCTTTTTGTGTTCTGTTTGAGAAATCTTTGCTTACTTTAAGATATGAAGATTTTTCTCTCCAAGTATTTTGAAGCTGTTATTTGTTTGTTTGTTTGTTTGTTTTTTTCTCTCTTTGGTTGTGGATTTCATTTTATTCTGCTTAGAATTAATTTTTCTTAAAAATCTGAACAATATCAGCCACTTTTAATTATACCTGTTCCCTATTCTTTCTAATCTCTCCTTCTGCATCTTTGATAAATCTTTCTTTCTTTCTTTTTTTTTTTGTCTTTTGTCTTTTTCCGTGTCTGGCAACGGATCGCAACCCTCAGTGTTGCCCCCGTACCGGACCGGGGACCGGCAACGGGATTGCAACCCTTGGTGCTGCTCCCGCGCCTCGCTCAGCCAGTGAGCGGGAACCGGTCTGTATGTGGGATCCGAACCCTCGGGCGGGAGCACCGCCGCGCTTCCCAAGCGGCGCACTTATCCAGTGCGCCACTGGGCCGGCCCTTTGATAAATCTTTCTTTTTCATCTTTTTTCATGTCTCTGAAGTTCTTTGGTTTTTCATATTTTTTATTACTTTGTCTCTTTGTGATGTGTTGAGTAATTTTTTTTTTTATTTCTTATTTTGGTTCCCTAATTGTCTCCTGAGCTGTGTGTAATTTGCCATTTAATACTACACCAAGTTTCTATTTTCGATTATTTTTCATTTCTAGTAGTACCATTTAGTCATCTTTCACATGTGCCTAGTCAGTTTTAATAGTCTGTTTTCTATTTTTGCAACTTTCAATACTCTTCTTTTTAAGACACACATACTTATTTTATCCCATATTTAATAATTACAGTAACTGTACTTTTTTTTGAGAGTTTGTTTTTCTTCTGATTATGTCTCATAGTAGCTTGTTTCATTGCGATTTTTGATGGTGATAATCAGCCTTGACTCAGGTCCCAGTATTATTAGCAGTTCTTTTCTATTTCCTTTATCAGCTTTCTTTCCCGTTCTTTGTGGTGGTTCTTTTAGACATTCCCTGTTCTTCATAAAGCTCTCATCACAAAAAAACAAAACAAAACAAAACAGAAAACCACCTACCTCCTTTGATTTCATTTATCTTATATTCACCTCATCTAGCAGGGGCTGAATTCTGTTTGATGCTGAAGATATGGAGGTACATAAGGTAAACATATTCTTTCTCCCCTGGAGTACTTGAAATCTGAAAGGGAGGCAAATGTAGGTAGGAATTTATGGATATAATTAATTAAGATTATGACAAAGTCAGTCAAAGAATGGAATGGGGGGCAGTATTATAGTGGAAGGCCAACAGGACAACAAAGTTCATTTAGTACTAGCAGTTTCCCAGTAATATTTAGAGTAAGTATTAAGAGGAAACTAGATCTTAAGAGGATAAGTAATTAATCATTTCTCCATTGTAGGAAATTAGGAACTATGTGTTTGGCAAGCCACAGGAATGAGAGCTAAGACTTATGCGCTATTTTATCAAATTTTATATGAATTTAAATGTCTAAAGTGGGAAATTTGGACATATTTGTATTGCCGTGTTCAATTTCCCAGGCACTCTTATTTGTAATTAACTTCAAATTGTACATAATATTGACAGAAAGTCATTGGTATTTGAGGTTTGGCATTCATTTGTTTCTTATTGAAACTACATGCTGCAACTTAGCTCCATTAAGCTGAATATATATTGAAGTTAGGGTGATGTAATTTTTTCAGAATGCATTAAAGAGAGGAATAGGTGCAGCAAGGATGAAGAATAAAAGCATGATAAAACTTGTTTAGCTCTAACATCCTGCAGATGGGTATTGGAAATTGACCTCCTAGGAATTGAGAGTTGTAGGCAGATTTATCTACGTACCCACCCATCTGCCCACCCAAACCAATAAACATTTTTATTAGAATCTATTTGTGCTAGGCCTTGTGCTGCATGCTGAAGTTGTAAAGATGACTGAGACTTTTTCTCTGGGAGTCATCAAATAATGGTAGTTAATTTTGAGCTCTAATGTTTTGTAAACAATTGGGCAAATAATGGCCATAGCTTTCGCATATAAATTGTATTATAGAAAATCAATTTGGAAAAGCCTTTAAAAATGATTTACGTGGGTGGCAACAATTTTGAAAAATCATATTTGAACTTAGAGGGATAATTGTATTTTAAGAATTTTATATTCTTACTCTTTAGCTTGTTAGTTTTGATTTTATAATTTGAGTATAAATATTTATGGCAATACAATGTACATATTTGGTTTAAGAACTAGTTTATGTAAAGATGTACATTTTTACATATTGACAAATTATAGCTTTTATTTGCAAGTCACATTTCAGAGAGTCTTAATATATATATCCTGAGCCAAATGAAGTAAAGAGAAATTTTTATATTATCCCCTCATCAAAGAGTTGTTTATATATAGAATATAAGATATTCTTATTAACAACTTAGATGATAATACCTTACATTAGTTACCTGTACAATATACAGTGTACATTTCAGCATTTATTCTCATTTGATTTTCATAATAGCTTGGTTAGGCAGTATTAGGTTTATCTTCCTTTTTAATCAAGAAAAAAAAAGATTACAAAGATTGTGATGTACTCCCTATCTTAATATAGTAATGGTAATATATTACCATGTTGACATTTCTTTGGTTATCTTTATTTTATTTTATTTTAAAAAATCTTTCTTTTGGTGTCTGGCTGGTAAGAGGATCTGAATCCTTGACTTTGGTGTTACCAGCACCATGCTCTAACCAAATGAGCTAACTGGCCAGCACCTTTTTGGATATCTTTAGATTATAATTTATATGTTTATTTTGTAGATGAAAATAAAATGTTACCTGCAAGATCAGGATGTACAATAGAAGATCATGTAATTGCAGGAAACGTAGAAGAATTTCGTAAAGATTTCATTTCTAGGATATGGCTAACCTACAGGGAAGAATTTCCTCCAATAAAAGGCTCAGCTTTGACAACAGACTGTGGTTGGGGCTGTACATTGAGAACTGGCCAGATGCTGTTGGCTCAAGGACTCATCCTACACTTTCTTGGTAGAGGTAAATCAAATCTCTGTTTTTTGTTTTTGTTTTTCAGTTTGAGTTCCAACTTGCAAACTGCATAAAACTCCCAAAGGTTAATTTCTTGACTCCCTGATGTTTTCTAAAGTTATAACTAATCTAGCATATTACATTTTTATTGAACTGGGTCCTATATAACTTATCTTATATGTAAACTTTCACGATTCATCTTTTGAAAATACAGGTTAAACATACTTACTATTCTTGGTTACCACCATGAATTCAGTCAGTTCAATTTTTAGTAGCCTTTGGATTTCTTTGTTGTTATTATTTCTTTCATTTCAGTTAATCCCTAAGTTATCTCTAATTCAGCCTAAGTCCTGGGCAAGTAAATAGCTGTGACATTGAAGAGATAGTTAATATTTTTAAATCTTAAGAGTTTTATTCTGGTTTCTTTGTTTTCTCTCTGTATATCAGTAATGCTTTTAAGTTATTTTTACTTTTAAAAATATGGTTATAATCAATTATATTAAATTGATTAGGCATATGCTTAATAAGGTTATTATACTTAGTCTTTTAGATCCTCAAAAATGTTATTGATACCTAACTTACATATATCTTTTTTTTCCTATTGTGCCACCTTTCTATTAGTTCTTTTTTTCTTTTTTTTTAATTGAATCATAATTGATTATACATATTTTGGGGTTTTGATGTTAAATGTATGTTGGTCAAATCAATATGATTAGCATATGTATTATTATAAATCATACTTATTCTTTATGCCCATTACCCAATCTTTTCTCATCCCCTTCTCCTTCCCCACCACCTCTGATAACCCTAGATTTCTTCTCTCCTTCTGAAAGAGTAATGGGCCCCGTGGCAGTGATGGCGTGCCTGGTGGTGGGAGGAGGTGTCGGTCCCTGGCTCCATGCCTTAGGACCTGGGCAGGCCCCATGGCAGCAGCATGCCTGGTTGTGGGAGGAGGGGTAGTTCTTTTTTTATAATATGCATATTTGTAGGAGAATTTTAATTTACCATTTTAGGCTAACATATCTGGTTATTACTAAATATTACTAGATTTTTTTAAAGTATTAGACAATATCCCTGCAATACATGGCAAATATGTAGTAATCCTTCTGTGGAGATTATTGATGAGATTAGTTAGAATGTTTATTGAAGAGAGATGTGGATGATGCAAAGAAAAAGAATTTTAAACTGGTTTTCTGAGATGATTTATTTGTAGTCTTGTGTAATCATGGACAAGGATTGGAATATTTTTTACAGTCCTGACTGGGTCTCTGAATCTATGATTTATTTTAACTTAAAATTATATGTATGTTTGGGAACTGTCTTATTATTAAGAACAGTGAAGTAATGGATATATTTGATTTTTTGATATGTTTGCTCTTTTATGACTTCATTTATTAATTCTTCATTTACTAGAAAATTGGTATTAGTCTCTAAACAATGATTAAATTATTCTGAAGAAATGTACAGAAAAAAATATTTTGAAAAAAGTTTAAAATGTTTGTGGTCAGACTTCTATTTTAACATGTAATCAGAACAAAATCTACTTTCTGAAGATATCCTCTCATGAATACGATAATTGTTAGTAAATATATTTATTGTGCTTTCGAGTAGTCAAAACTGGATGTCTGATAAACAGTAAGGTAATGAAATACAGAAGTCTTTATTTCATCTCAGCATTGTGAATGAAAAGAAGAGAAAGAAAAGCATATTACAGAATTGTTCATTTGTGCCTGATTTTACTATTTTTAAATTTTTTTGTCTTTTATTTTGTAATTTTTTTTCTGATTATATTTAATAAATTCCCATTTTAGAAATTTTGGAAACTGCAGTAGAGTCCAGAGAATAATATTATCACTCAGATATGAACGTATTGACATGTTGGCATATTTTCTTTGCTCGCGCCTTTGTTTTTTTTTTTTTTCCTTTTTGTCTTTTTTTCGTGACCGGCAACGGATCGCAACCCTCAGTGTCGCGCCCATACCGGACCGGGACCAGCAACGGGATCGCAACCCTCGGTGTTGCTCCCGCACCTCGCTCAGCCAGTGAGCGGCCGGTCTGTATGTGGGATCCGAACCCTCGGCGGGAGCGCCACCGCGCTTCCCAAGCGGCGCACTATAGCAGTGCGCCACCGGGCCGGCCCGCGCCTTTGTTTTTTTTAACTAGCTTTATTGAGATATAATCTGCATACCGTAAAGTCACTCATTTAAAGTGAATAATTCATGGCTCTTAGTATATTTACAGAGTTCTGCAACTATTACCATAATCTAATTTTAGAACATTTTCATCATCCCCCAGAGAAACATTATTTATACTCATTGGCAGCCATTCCCAGTACCTCTTTATAAGCAGTCATTAATCTACTTTCTGTCTATATATATATTTGCCTATTCCTGAGTTTACTGTTTTAGTTTAGTAACCCATATTACTTTACATTCTACATGCTTATTTTTGTAGAATTATTAAAGTCTAACTATTTAAAAGATCTGAACACCTTGTTTTGGAACTACTATAGCTTGGACCTGGCCTGATGCTTTGAATATTGAAAATTCAGACTCTGAATCATGGACTTCCCACACTGTAAAAAAATTTACTGCATCATTTGAAGCATCGCTTTCAGGGGAAACAGAACTCAAAACCCCAACGATTTCTCTGAAGGAAACAATCGAGAAATATTCTGATCATGAAATGGGAAATGAAATTTATCACAGGAAAATCATCTCTTGGTTTGGTGATTACCCCTTGGCTCTCTTTGGCTTACATCAACTAATAGAATATGGAAAGAAGTCTGGGAAAAAAGCTGGAGATTGGTATGGACCAGCTGTGGTTGCTCACATTTTAAGGTAAAATTATTTTAAAAACTTTCATCCTGTGACAGAGGTCCTCAGGCTCGGAGATATGGATTTTTTCAATGTATATATATAATTGGAACTTTTAAAGTATTGGGTACAGATATACAAGAATTCTTTCTACCCAGGTTTTCATTAGACTACCTTACTGAAATGTTCTAAAAACTAACATCTCTTTCAACCTTGGAGCATGTATAACATTATAGTTTTTTTAATGTTGTGTAACCTGGGGGCTGTAATGTACTGATAGTGTAATAAAATGTAAAGAGCTAAAATTAACATTTTCAGCATTTCTTTGCACACATCAAATTCTTGTGAATTGTAAATGTGTGGGACTATTAATATTATAATTATATCATAGTAAAAGTAAAGGGTCTGTGACATTCAGGGTAGTTAGAAAAAAGTCAAAAGTCAAATTTCACTATACTTCATCTTTTTATGTGCCATTTATTTGGATGTTACTTAAGTTTTTTTTAAAAAAATAATCTCATCTGTGCATGTTTCATTATTATAAACTAAATCATTAATGTGTCATACAAGTATAGCATGTTATGGTAAATTTACTTCATTTAAAATCATATATAAATTTGAAATTATTACAAAGCATTTTTGAATATTAACATGTTTTTGTATTTTATAGGCCAGATGATTACAATTGAAAAAGTATTTGCCTAATGTTATTAGTTGCATTGTTAATAATATCAATTCCAACTTGATATGACATTTTTTTGTTTTTTTTTGTCCTTTTTGAGACCGGCCGCAACCGCTCTCAGCCAGTGAGCGCTGTGAGTGCACTGGTCATCCCTGTGTAGGATCCGAACCTGCGGCGGGAGCACTGCTGCGCTCCCAGCGCCGTACTCTCCCGAGTGCACCACGGGCTCGGCCCAATATGACATTTTTATAAAAGCATAATTATAAAAATGTAGTTTCTACCCTTCGAGATGTTCTCTGTCCCAGGGGTCAGCAACTTTTTCTCTAAAGTGGCAAATAGTAAATATTTTAGGCTCTGTGGGCCTTATAAAAGGTTTCTGTTGCCCAATTTTCTTCTGTTGTTTTTTTTTTTTTCCATAAATCCCTTAAAAGTGTCAAAACCATTCTTTGCTTGCAGCTAGCACAAAAACAGGCCACAGGTTGTATTTGGCCTATGGGCCATAGTTTGCCAATCTTTCTTCTCTGTCTTAGTCTGTTTCTCTTGCTTATAACAAAATACACGAACTGGGTAATTTATGAGAAAACAAAATTTACTGCTTCCAGTTTCTGAGGCTGGGAAGTCCAAAGTCCGGGGATCACATCTGGTGAGGGTCTTCTTTGGTGGTGGCTTTACAGCAATGCAGGGGTCTCACATGGCAGAGAATGGCGGAGCCGAGAGCGAGCTCCTCATGTGCTCTCCTTGTAAAGCCCTCAGAACCATGCCCATGACCACCATTAAACCATCAACTTTTTTTTTCCTTTTTGTCTTTTTTCGTGACCGGCAACGGATCGCAACCCTCAGTGTCGCGCCCGTACCGGACCGGGACCGGCAACGGGATCGCAACCCTCGGTGTTGCGCCCGCACCTCGCTCAGCCAGTGAGCGGCCGGTCTATATGTGGGATCCGAACCCTCGGTGGGAGCGCCGCCGCACTCCCAAGCAGCGCACTGTAGCAGTGCGCCACCGGGCCGGCCCTAAACCATCAATTTAATCACCTCTTTAAGTCCTCATCCTTTGGTTACCATAATAGGATTTCCTACCCTCAACAGTTACAATGGGGATTAAGCTCCAATGACCTCAGGAGGCCATTCAGTCTACTACATGTGGGAACATGAATAATAGGGCATTTTAAGTTAAAGAATTATAAAGATATATTTAAGTGAAATTATTTGTATTTCCACAATGTACGTAATTTCCTTTTATAGATAGGGTTATTATTATTTTTTGCCACATCACGTGCACAATTGAGAACATTATACTCACTTAGAAATATTCTTCAATTTGCAGTTTTACATATAGAATTCTAAGACCTGAAATTAGGAAATTCATTTGTTCAGATCATATAAGTTTTTGAATGAAGGAAAAAAAGTCATGCTGTTGTTTAAAGAACAGGATTAAACTTTCATAAGTGTACCAGAGGAAAAACACAGTAATTCACTCTTACTCGGTAATGTAAGCTACTGTGAAGCAAACCTTGAAGCGCATTGTAATACCACTGGTTAGAAAACATTTAATATATCCTGGCGAGTGGTTGAAAGAAATCCTTCTTTGTGCTGGGGGAGGGAAGGGGACGGTGTACAGCTTTATACCATAGAATTAAAAAAAAATTTTTTGTAACTTATTTTTTAATGTTCTTTGAGTAATTTAGTGTAATATTCAACTTTGAAAATTTAACCTGATTTCTGATACCATTCAGATGATAGTTTTTGACAACAGACACTGTAGGGTTAATAGGAAAGTCAGGAAAATAGTGGCTTTTTTCTCCCTTTTAAATTAAATCTTTGGTTACCAAGTGGAAATGTTAGGACTTTAAAGGATGGTTCTTGTTATTTTTGTAGAAAAGCAGTTGAAGAAGCAAGACACCCTGATTTACAAGGAATAACTGTTTATGTTGCACAAGATTGTACAGGTAAGCAATGTATATAATTCTAATTTTTATCTGTTTTATTTTGTCAGACTTTTTGTATGTGTTTAGCTTATCTTCCCAGTTTTACTGTAAATGATTATGAAGATTGGGCCCATGTCCTACACATTTTTGTACCTGTATGTAGTAGGTGCTTACTAAATATTTCTTATTGAATACATACTGTGAATTACTAGTCGCAATATTAAAATAAATTCTCAGAGAAAATTCCAGCATTTTAAATGACTACTTTAAAAGAGGGAGATGGGAAAATTTAACATAGTTATATACTTGGGCTGCATGTGTGCCAGGTATGATTTCATTGGTGGATGTGTTTCAGGGAAAAGGAAATTCTTAGTTTATCTTATGAGGAACTAAATATGTTTCTTACCAGTGCTTCCGTAAATCATCTAATTATTATGCTGCTGCTGTTCAGATTTTTGCTTTATTGTTTTGGGCCTTCTGATTGATGATTTTGAAACTTTGGGATAAAATAGAGATCTTAATTTCTTAAAAGTATCTTCAAATAAGTTACTTCATGCTGTTAATTTTATTTTTTATAGAAATGCTATTGAGGATAAAATATGTTAATGTTTTGGAAAAGTTAAATAGACTTCAATCACGTTTGATATAGAGTATCTACAAAGTGCTTAAGGTTACCCTAATAAACTGAGTAGTGTTTGTAGTATGGAAGGGATGGCTACCAAATATGCATGCATTTTTATTTGGCCTTTTGTTAAGGTTAATTTGCTTTCAAAGAAGGACAGATAACTGTAATTATAGCCATATGAAGGTGAAAGTTCTAAAGTTTCAGATAAGTTTATAAGTTTTTCAGCTACTATGTTTTTCAGGTAGGAAGTCTTGCAAGTAAAATATGCTGTTAAGAGTTCTAATTAAGCCTAATGATGTGCTTAAACTATTAATTATTAATTAAGCAGTGAACAGTACCAAGTTTCTTGTTATATAAGTGGTTTGTGTAGTTTGAAGTAGTACTTAAAATTTTTACCATTTGTGTTTAAGAATCCTAAGGAGAGGATTTAGTATAGTTTTGATAGACTATAGGATTAGGAATTAGGTGAAGCCAGTTCTATCAATGATTTTTTCCCCTCTACCTTCATTACTGTTTTGAAAGGTTTCACTTTCTGTTTGTTTTACAATTCTTTGTAATTGCATCTATGTATTCCCATGGTTTTAAATACTTAGGACTATGCACTATACACTAGGACTTTTAAAGCTACATTTCTAGTTCTAAGTTAATATGAGATAACTCATATTTTCTGCAGCTCTTCAAATACCTCTACTTAGATATTTTCTACAAACATTTCACATTCAGCATGTTTAAAAGTAAATCTGTCGTTTTCCCTCTATCCCACCCCTTTTTCTTTGTTTTCTCTTGACAAATAGTATCATGTCCACAGGCATACTCAAGGTAGAGCCTACTCATTCTTGACTGTTCTCTTATTGCTTATATCTAGCCAGTCAACAAATGTTTACCAATTTATACTTTTAAAAAATATTCCTGAAGTTGGTTCTCTCTTCTGCACCCTCATTGATTTAGATCAGACACTTGTCTCTAACTTGGACTTTAACTTATTTCCTTGCCTCTCTTCCCTTTTTGATCCATCTGATCAAAAAAAAGTTGATCATGTCTCTTTATTTAAAAATCGGTGACTGCACATTAACTCCAGTCTCAAGTTATCTTAATATAAGTGCATGAAGTCCTTTACTATTTGTCCCGACCTGTGATTCCAGAACCATTTCCCAACACTGTCTTCCATACCCATTACACTAAAGTATTGTCAACCATTAGGCCATTCCTTGCACATGCTATTATTATCTTTTTTCCCCATGCTTTTGCGCATATTAACAACTCTGCTCTGAATGCCCCTTATTATTAGAATGCCTCTTTTTAACTCTTAATCATTCTTCAAGAACATGCTCAAGGTTTACACTGTTGTGGTGAATCCTTTCTCAACTCTCATCAGGCAGGATTAGTTTATTTCTCCTCTGTGCCTTGCAACATTTTGGAAATACATCTATTAAATATTGCACTTGTAATTCACTTGTGATATCACAATGATTGTTAAGGTAGTAGGGGTAAAGGAAAGGCATCAGAATCATTTGGTTGAGAATCACTGCTGTAATGAGCCTCTGTTACAGAGTTGGACTGTGTCTGTTATAGCCCTTACATATGCTGGGAGTGGAGGAAAAACAACAAAACTATTGAGCTAAACACTCTTTGAAGTTAGGATCTTATTCATTTTATACCTCTTTAGCACAGAACATATCAATAAATAGTAGGCCCTTAATAAATGTGTGTTGAATGAAGATGAAGGGTAAGAGACATTTAATGAGGAAGAAATATTGTGGCATTTTTGTAGCTTTGGTTTAGAGTGACTGTGGGAAATGGGGAAGCTGGTGAACAGAAAAATTTGATAGCTCAGTCTAAATTTAGAATTTAAAGAAAAGAACTGTAGCAAAAGTGGCAGAATTTGATAATCAGCTCTTCTGGGAAGAGCCGAAGAGTTTGGTTAAACTGACAGGCAGTGTGGGTGTAAAGTAAGTTTTGAATAAAACCACTTTATTTTGGACAAAAAATAAAATTGTGTCTATATTTGCTTCTACCAAATCCTGCTGTTTTTTCTTGAACTATTCCATTTAGGTCGTCACACCCACCACTCTACCAAAACTGCTTTTATCAATAATTGAATCTTTCTAAACCCAGTGGTCACTTCTCAGTCCTCACCTCATATGATCTGTCAGCAGCATTTGACAGAGTTGACCACTTCCTGCTTCTCCATGTAACATTTTGTTTACTTGGTGTATTAGTCCATTTCTGTTGCTTATAACAAAATACCTGGAACTGTGTACTTTATAAGAAAGTGAAACTTAATGCTTCCAGTTTTGGAGGCTGGGAAGTCCATAGTCCATACAGGGAACACTTACAGTGAGAGTCTTCTTTGGTGGTGGCTTTACAGCAATGCAGGGGTCTCACGTGGCCGAAAATGGCAGAGCAAAGAGAGACACTAACCTCTCGTGTGCTCTTTTTTTTTAAAGCCCTCAGAATCACGCCCCTGACCACCATTATTAATCCATTCACTATGCATGGTCCTATAATCCAATCACCTCTTCAAGGCCCCACTTTCAATTACCATAATAGGATTTCCCACCCTCAATAGTTACAATGGGGATTAAGCCTGGGGGTGGGGGGGGGGAGGTAATCCAATCTACAGCACTTGGTTTCCACAACACTACTCTGCAGGTTTTCCTTCTGCCTCCTTGTCTACTCTTTAACAACACTACTCTGCAGGTTTTCCTTCTGCCTCCTTGTCTACTCTTTAACAGTCTCCTTTGTTGTTTTTCCTCATCTCCTTAATCTCTAAAAGTGTTGATGTCTTAGTGCTCAGCCTTTAGACTTTATCTCTTTTTCTGTCTACACTGATTTGAATTCACCCAGTCATGGCTTTACAATACCATCTGTATGTTGGCAACTCCCAAATTTTTAGGTCAATCCTGGTCCTCTCCCCAAACTCCAGTTTTGTATGTCCCTAACTGCCTACTCAACCTCTCTACTTGCACGTCTAACAAGTGTCTCAAAGTTAAAATGTCTAAAACGGAATTCCCAGTTTTCCCTCCTATGTTTTCCCTCCTCTAGTCTTCCATGTTTTTGTAAATGGCAACTCTTACTCTGTTTGCTTGCACCAAAAACCTTCAAATCACCTGTGATTCATTTTTTTCTCTTATATCTTGCATTTAATAGCAAGTCCTTACTTTATTTTCAGCTATATGAACTGATTACTTTCACCACCTCCACATGACCATCCTATGACTATTTTCTATCTCCACAATACTGCCTTTGTTCAAGCCACCATCATTTCTTGTTGGATAACTGCAGTGGCCTTTTCACTGTTCCCTGTGCTTTAGCCCTTGACCTCTACAGTCTATTAACAAGATAGGAACCAGACTGTTAAAGTGTGTAAGTCAGATGGGGACATTCCTTTCCTAAAAAACTTCAATGGCTTCCCATCTCAATCAAAAATTGAAGGCTTTACATTGGCTTTCCAGAGTATACACAATCTGTCTTCATTCTCCCCTTATCTGTAATTTTATCTCCTAATCTCTTTTCCTATTACCGTATCCCTTGCTCACTTCCCTCCAGAGAAACTGGCCTATTGTTCCTGGAACATGCTAGCTGTGCTTCTGCCTTAACGCATGTGCGTTTGCTGATCTTTCTACCTGGAATGCTCTTTCCCCAGGTTTCTGCATAACTTGGTTTCTTACTTTCTTTAAAATCTTGGCTCAAATGTTGCTTTCTCATAAGACCTTCTTTGACCACCTTATTTTCAATTGCCTCTCCCGTCAGCATTTCCTGCCATCTTTTCTCCCTTTGTTTTTCTTCAGTGCACCTATAAGCATCTGACATAACTTATATTTTACTTATTTATTGTCTGTTTCCCCCATTAGAGTGTATGCTCAATGAGGGAAGGAATTTTTCTCTGTTTTGCTTACTGCGGAAGCCCCAATGCCATATGATAGCTACTCAATAGGTATCTGTTGAATACCTAAATGAGGTAGGTATTTTTAACTTGTTGAAATCTTGATAGTGATGTCAGAGATCAAATGACTGACCAGTGTGGGGAGTGAGAGGGAGAAATATGGTAAAATGTTTCTGAAAATCACTCTTAGAAAATTTAATACATATTCACTATGTTTTTCTCAGTTTACAATTATGATGTAATTGATAAACAGAACACTTCCATGACCTCTGATAATGCAGACGACAAAGCTGTTATTATTCTAGTTCCTGTTAGACTTGGTGGAGAAAGAACCAACACCGACTACTTAGAGTTTGTAAAGGTATGAAATAAGCACTTGATTTTTTTTAAGGCAGTGTTAGCTGATATGACAAACGGTTTGCAATCTTTTTTTGTATTAAATGGATAGTGATGATTTTACAGTGAAGTTTGACATTAGAGATTTTAAATTTCAATATTACAAGATCAAATGTAAGCCGCAGAGCATTTTGTTCTGTAACAAAATGAAAAACAATTAATCTCTGTAACTAATTAAGAAGACACAGGTGCAACAATAATCATAATCTGTAATAAGACTACAGTTTCATTACCTTTATTTGTAATTTTTAAAGTATGTACGTTGGGTTTGTATCCCTACTGGCCAGCTGCCAAAACAAACAAACAAACAAACAAACAAACAAAAAACCAAATAAAAGTATGTACTTTTATTTTTTCATAAAACCAACATTAAACTATATTGATTTAATTATTAAAACAAAATGATGTTCTGCTACTGCTGGGTCAATCTATATAAATAAGGTTATTTATGCAGACAGAAATAACCAAGATAGTATTGGAGGTGGGGTGGGGGTGTCCCCAATTTTTTTTTTTTATATTAACTAGTTGAACCTGTCTAGTTATGTTATCTTGTTTTGGTTGCTAAGGCATTCAGTTGTGATGAAATAACTTTTGAAATACTTAGTTTCTGGTTAAGATTATAGTTTTTTTTATTATTTTCATAGTTTTAATAAAATGCCTCGATTTTTAGTTGTCCATTTTCAAGGCCAGAGATGGAATTCTTTGAATGGAGTGTTATGGGATATATTAATGTTGAAATAAATAGCAATGTTGAAATTAAGTCTAGATCTGTCTTTTATGATTCGGTAACAATTTGTTCTCTACATGAAGCATTAATCCCATATCATGGTCTCTATGTATGTAAGTGGAACATGTATCCTCAGGCTAGATTGTGCTAATTCTAAAAATCTAGAGCAGTTGTTTTCATACTTAATAAATGGAAGTCTTTTAGCTGGTATACTGGCTTTTCTTAATAGTTACTAAAATTTTGGAGGCATACTTATTACTAATAGTTACAATACTTAAATATATTGATAACATATTAATCCCCCAGATAAAGATGGGATTTTCATGTCTGACTTGTGGGTTCTTTAGTAGAGTCACTAGTGGAATCTGAGAAGTTGTGAACCACTCAGTCTAGAGAATCTGTTGAGGGTTTCGGGACATGTTGTCTGTCATCTCTAGGTGGGTCTAACAAATATGAACTGTATTCTCTCTGCCTTTTCTACTACCATGAGGAAATTAGAAACTGATGCAATCTTGGAACTGACTCATTTAGCCAAAGCCTCATTCCTGGTGGAATGGGCTGCAGATGGCTTCAAGGCATGTTTCTTCTGGCTGAGGGCTTTGCTATTTGTTGGTAAGGCTAGTATTCATGAGATGGCAGCACTGCCTCATGCTCTTGAGTGATTCATTGGAACCTGAACCATAGTGAAACCAAGAGTGGGTAAGCTCTTAAAGAGATCCTCAGTATCTAGTATGTAGGAGTTACTCAGTAAATACTTGTTAACTGTCATTTGTCTAACATTTTTCAATTTAAATTTATATCGTTTGTCCTCATAATTGCTAGGAACTGGATTGTCTTTATAAAACAGAAGAGACATAGAGAAGTTAAATGGTATGTTCAAATTCAGATAGCAGACAGGTAGAGAACTTTCTTGACTCTTAGTTCATTGTTTTTCATATTTTCCCTAAAATATGAACTTCTTAAAGTGTAACATTTCCTTGAGCTTCTACTAACTTGATTTACTCTGTAGTCTACTAAAATGAGAGAGCAGTAACTATTGAGGCATTTTAATTTTTTTTTTTTTTTTTTTTGTCTTTTTCCGTGTCCGGCAACGGATCGCAAC